ATATATATATATATATATATATATATATATATATATATATATATATATATATATATATATATATATATATATATATATATATATATATAAGCATTGAAAGGTAAAAGAATAGTGTGTGCTTGTTTCTGCTCTTCAGATTAGTTATCTTCTTTTTTGACATACCCGATGCCTTACCTTCCATGAAATTGGAGATTGGATACGGGGTCCCGGTGGGAACCACCTTTGAGACGAAGTCTTTGACCAATAAAGAGGCAAGAAAGTGAACGGGAAAGAGATCCAAGAATGGAAAGGGCTTTCTTTCTATTTTTATAACATTAAAGCTTCTCTTATTTGGTACCCGTCGGCCCACCTTCAATGACATTCGTGATTGGACAGGGGCTCCGTGTGGGAGCCACCTTGGGGACCACGTTTTTTACCAATGACAAGGTAAGAAAGTGATCAAGACGGAGATGGCCGAGAAAAAGAGCTCTCTTTTTATTTTTAACATTGGTATTGCTTCTTTCTAACGTATCTGTTATGGTACCGTCCATCTCATTGGAGGTTAGATAGAGTTTACGTGGGAGCCATCTTTGGGACCACATGTTCATCCAATTAAGTGGCAAGAAGCTGATCTACATCGAGAACGATGAGTACAAAAGACTCCCGTTTTATTTTTTTAAGCATAGTATCCCTCCTTTTAGGGATACTCGTTGGCCCACCTTCCATATTATTGGGGATTAGACCACGGGGTCCGCATGGGAACCACCTGTGGGACCATGTCTTTCTCCAATGACAACAATACCTAACTAAAAAAATATTATATAAAAAAGTAAATATTTCCTTCTGACGAACCCATTAGCTCACCTTGTATCTTATTGGAGATTAGGTTGGGGTCCACGTGGAAGCACCTTTGGGACCATGTCTTCCTCCAATGAAGAGGCAAGAGAGTCTTCGAGAAACTTGTGATCGAGTAGCTTTTATCATAGTTTCCTTTGTTTTCGGACATACCCGTTCGGCCACCTACAAAGGCATTGGAGCTTGGACAGGGGTCCGCGCGGGTACCAATGTGGGACCATGTCTTGCTTCAAAAATTATTATACGAAGAAAAAAAAAAGCATAGAAAATTTGTGGCTGCTGGGATTCGAGCCCAGGTCTCTACGGCCACAACGTAGAATTCTTACCACTAAACTACAGCCACATTGTTGTAATTATGTTACAACATAAATATTTATTTATTCTATTTACATATTCATGATGAGAATCCACCTCAGAGAAAATGAAGTCAACATAATTGTCCATATCGACGACATGGCACGATTTATGCTATCGAATAATTCAGTCATGAATTCATAAGGAAATGACAACCCAATACATTTCTCGAACGTCTTATCCTGATTGAAAATTATCCCCTGCCATAGCATGCTTAATCTACGAAAGGATATGTGTTGGCCTACAGTAACTTGCCACGATCTACATGAGTTAAGATGTAGTTTCTCATGTGCTACTGAGATCAGTTCAACGAAGTGTGCATCAGGAGAGGTGAGGTTGCCAAACAACTATGTGATTATTAGATTTTAGGCCCAAATTAATTAGTTAAGATATATTAGGATTTTAATGTGAGGGACTCTCATAATTATATATGGGTAGAATTTTCTAGGAATCATATTATTATATAAATTTATTCTCTTATTTATCGATAGATCTCTAATCCATCAATTGCAGTAGTTGATTATGATATCAAAAAGTACCCATCGCCCAATTGAATTAAGATTTCGATTCAGATTAATTAAACTGGTTCGTTTGAAATTTTATCTTTCAAATTATTTGAAATTAGAAATCGGTTAACCAGTTAATCCAACCAGATTAATTGATTTTAAATCGATTTAGTTTTGTAGGACCGAATTAGTTCCAGTTTAGATCCCTTACTTTAATTGAATCGAACTAGATAATCAATTCAGTTTGGTTTGACCCTTAATGGTTCGATTCGAATGGGTCTAAACACCTTTAATCTCGAGACATGTGAAGGCATCGAGACATACTAACTTAAACTACTCATATAAAGACATCAAACTCAAGAGACGCCGAGGTTGTCTAAATATGCTAACTTGAACAACCAACATTGGTAGTGTGGAATGTAGGAGATTCACAAGGGTGTTGAGAAATATTGAATTGAATTACCTACATAAGGACTATCAAGCATAGAAGACAAGCAAAGAGTATAGAAATGTTGACTTAAACTATCTATGTAGGGAGGATTAAACAAATGTAAGAGAAGCACAAAGATATCAAGATACGCCCACTTGAAGAATCCATATAAAGTGTGTCAAAACATGGGAAAAGCATGAGGGAGCCAAGATATATTGACTTAAACTATCCATCTAGGGAGTGTCAGATGAAGCATACACATGAGGGCATGACATGTCGACTTTAACTGTTCATATATGAAGCATCAGACATAAGGGATATATGAGAGCAATTGGCTTGAATGACTCTCATTAGTAGTGTTAGACATCGAAGATGCACGAGAGTGTATAAGCATATCGACTTGAACTTACCATATAAAGAGTATCAAATATACTAGATGTATGAAAGCATTGAAACGTGTATACTTGAATGACCTCTCTAAGTATTGTTTATTGTAAAAAATGCAAGGGAGTCATTACATGCCAAGTTAGAATGTTGAAAACATGCTAAGGTGTCGAGGCATGCTAACTTGAATTGCTCATATGGGGAGCACTAAATAGGCATACTGATTTAAAATGCCTATGTAGGGAGCATTTAATGCAGAAAACATATAACAACGTTAAGGTATCATTGATTTAAATTGCATATATGGGAAGTATCGGATGTAAAAGATACACAAGTATTGAAGAATGACAAGATAAAGAAGATGTGGGAAGGCATCAAGACATGCCAATTTAAAATGCCCTCATTCAGAGTATCAAATATAGTAAACATGTAAGGACATCAAATCATATTGATTTCGAATGCTCGTGTATCAAAGGCAGGAGATGTATGAGGATATTAAGGCATGCTGACTTGAATTATTA